AAACTCCCTATTATTACAAATTATATTGTGAAATGTTGACAAATTCCCAGAGGTTGATTTATCTAGGCTTGCATTCTTTTGATGAATCCTATTTGGTCATACCTGTTTGTTTACTTAATACACTGATTGGACTGGCTAATAGTTTATTTATAATTTCTGTATCTACATTTATAAGAGAAATTGGTCTACATTTTTTGGAGGGTCCTATTTTTTTTTTTTTTAAGATTTTCTTATTTATTTGACAGAGAGAGAGAGAGCCCAAGCAGGGGGGTCAGCAGAGGGAGAGGGAGAAGCAGGCTCTTCGCTGAGCAGGAAGCCTGATGTTGGGCTTGATCCCAGGACCCTGAGATCATGACCTGAGCCAAAGGCAGCCACTTAACCGACTGAGCCCCTCAGGTGCCCTGGAGCGTCCTATCTTTACTACATTTGAGATTTGGGAAGTTTTCTATTTTACAGTTTCCTTGCCTTCTAATGTTTCTTTCTGTTCATCGTATTATGTTGGCTGATTCTTCCAATGTAATGCTGAATAGAATGATGATAGCAGGCATTGTTGTTTTGCTCCTAATTTTTTAACAATTTATTTGACAGAGAGAAAGAGAGCAGAGTGAGCAAGAGAGAACACAAGTGGTGGGGAGAGGGGCAGAGGGGGAGGGAGAAGCAGACCCCCTGCTGAGCAGGGAGCCCAAAGCGGGGCTCCATCCCAAGACCCTGAGTTCATGACTTGAGCAGAAGGCAGATGCTTAACCAACTGAGCCACCCAGGCACCCCTGTTTTGCTCCTAATTTTCAAAGGGATTGTTTTACATCAGGGTATGTTTTCTGCAGGTGTTTTGAGGATGCTTTTTGGAGTTAAGGAATTTCCCTTTTATTCTGTTTTCAAAGAGTAGTTTTGTTCTTTAACCATGGATATCATGATTCTTTAATCACCAGAGTTTTTGTTTTAATCATGGATAGTTTTTTAAATCGTTTTCTGGTATATTAAGATGAACAAAGTTTTTTTCATCCTGCAAGTCATTAATAAGGTAAATTTATTACATTATCAGATTTCTAATATTAGACTAACCTTGAATTGTCAGAATAATTCCAACTTGGTCTTTTTAATTTTTATTTGTGTGTGTGTTTGTCTTTTTTATTTTTTGGTTTTTGACTTTTTTCTTTTATCATTTGGTTTGTAACTCGACCTTTTTTATACTTTGCTGGATTTGGTTTGTTAGTATTTTACATAGGTCTTTTGCATATATATTCATAAGCAAGATTGCCTATAATTTTCCCTTCATTATCTTATTTTGTATCATGGTTATCCTTGCCTCATAAAACTAATTAAAGACAACCCCTTTCCATCAGTCTTTTGAAAAGCTCAAGTAATTTTCAAATAATTTGTTCTTTCATTGTCAGAACTCACTTGTAAGACTATCTGGGACTGGTGTTTTCTTTATGGAAAGATTTTACACTATTTATGTAATATCTTAAAGACTGTGGGACTATTCCGGCTTTCTATTTGGTTTTTGATTGGTTTTGGTTTGAGTTGTATTCTTCTAAGACTTTATTCATTTCATCTAAGTTCTGAACTGTATTGCATACAATTGTTCATAATTCCTTTTTATTACTTTTTAATATTATTAGCGTAGCTAGTTTTGACTTTTTTACTCCAACAATTATTTATTTATGTCTTTGCTCTTAATCAGTTTTATTTTATCAGTCTATTTTATTAGGCTTTTCAAAGAACCAATTTGGCTTAATCTTCTTTGTTATATGTTTGTTCTCCATGTTGATTTCTGACCTTTTATTATTTCTTCTACTATATTGGACTTTTTAAAAAGGTTTTTCTTTTAATTCTAGTTAGTTAACATACAGCATTGTATTAGTTTCAGGTGTACAATATAGTTCCATATGTCCACACTTCCATATGTCACCCGGTGCTCATCACAAGTGTACTCCTTAATCCCCATCACCTACTTCCCCCCATCCCCCATCCTACTTTATTGGGGGTTTTATTGCTGTTCTTTTCTCTAACTTTTCATGTTGCATACTCTTAAACTTACTCAGTTTTTTTCTTTTCTAATATAAGCATTTAAAGCTTAAATATGGGGCGCCTAATGGTGCAGTCAGTTAAGCATCTGACTTTTGGTTTCAGCTCAGGTCCTGATCTCAGGGTCGAAAGATCAAGCCCCACATCGGACTCTGCACTCAGTGTGAAGTCTGCTTGAGATTCTCTCTCCCTCTCCCTCTGCCCCTCCCCCCGCTCTAGCTCTCTCTTTCTCTCTCTAAAATAAATAAATAATCTTTTAAAAAAAGAAAAATAATGTTTAAATGCATCCATATATGTCAATACGTAGTTTTTCATTATTGCTTAGTGCTAAATATTTTCTAATTCTACGGTCTTCTACATTAGGTTTTTAAATTTCCAAATACATGAAGTTTATCTAACCATCTTTTTGTTTTTGATTTCTAACTTGTTTTGATTATGGTCAGAAAACATGGTACAGCCTGATTTATTCTACAAGGCGCTCTCCTTTCTCATTGTTTTCTATTTCATTTATCATGTCAGTTCTGATTCCCTCTAATGCCCAAGGAGTAATTTAGAGGAGTACTTTAACTCAGAATATGAGGAACACGTGGGCAGGGATGTCATCTTTTTACCATTTTATTTTTATTAGATTCCGATTCTCACTTACTCCCTGAAATAACTCAATCACCAGGGAAGCAAGGTGAGGGAGCCTGAAGGATGCAATACATTCTCTCCAGTACCGCCCCTGGAAGAAGGTGCAGGTTGCAGGGCTTAGCTCTCTGGGGGCTGATGAGAGCTGAAGCCAGAGGCAGTGGGGAGGGTCTGCTCTCCCAGCCCAGCTCTCCTGGCTCAGCTCATAGCCTCTTCTGGAAGTGGGGAAAGACTGGGACCCTGGTTCCCGGAGCATGCACAGACTGCAGGGCTAGGGGATTCCCTTGGGGCAGACCTCCACCTGCCCAACCTGCTACCTGTGGTCCTGGAGGACAGCCTAATTGTCTTTTTAATTGAATTATAATTTACATATCATAAACTTCCTTCTTTTAAAGCACATAGTTCAGTGGTTTTTAGTATATATATATATATATTTTAAATATATATATATATTTAAAAAATATATATATATTTTAAAAATATATATATATATATTTTTTTTTTTTTCCAAGATTCAAAAGGTTTATTTGAAAAAAAATCAGTACAGGACAAAGATATCCTTAATATTCCTTCTCAGAATATTTGAATATTCAAAATGTATATGAAATGTAGACAGCAACTCTGATTTCACAGAAAGAACATCAATGGTTTATACAAATGTAAACCCATTCCCACATCCCTCCCCAATGTACTATTCTATCCACCCCTTACTGACATTAGCTTTCACTAAGCTTCTATCTTCAGTGCTACTTGCAAAAATTAAAAAGCAGAAAATCATTTTCATGTTTAAATGGCTGGGATTAATTAAAGCAACCAAAGTATATACACAGAGTTGTGCAGCCATCACCACTATTTGATTCCAGAACATTTTTATCACCTCCAAAAGAACCCCTTGTACCTGTTAGTTGTCACTCCCAATCATCCCTCCTTCCAGCCCCTGGCAACCTCTAACCTTTCTGTCTTTATGGATCAGACTATTTCAGACACTTCCTATCAGTGGAATCATATAATCCGTGACCTGTTGAGTCTGGCTTCTTTCACCTACTTAGCATGTTTCCAAGGTTCATCCGTGTTTCGCATGGATCAGTATTTCATTCCTTTTAAGGCTGATAATATTCCACGGTATAGATATACCATCTTTTATTTCTCCATTCACTGTCTGTGGACATTTGGGTTGTTTCCACCTTGGGGCTATTATGAATAAGGCTACTACTTGTATATGAACATTCATATACATTCATACACAAGTTTTATATGGTCACATGTTTTCATTTCTGTTGGGCCCGTGGAATTGCTGGGTCATATGGTGTCTGTATGTTTAACCCTTTGAGGAAGCGTCAGAGTGTTTTCCAAAGTGGCCGCACCATTTTAAATTCCCACCAGCAGTGTCTGAGGGGTCCAATTTCTCCACACCCTCAACTACACTCGTTATCTGTCCTTTGGACTCCAGCCGTATTCATGAGTGGGACGTGGTATCTCATTGTGGTTTTGATCTGCATTTCTTCAATGGCGAATGATGTTGAGCATCTTATGTACTTATTGGTCTTTTGAATATCTTCTTTGGAGAAATATCGATTTAGATCCTTCGCCCATTTTTAAAATTACGGTATTTGTATTTTTATTGTTGAGTTGTAAGAGTTCTGCATATATTCCCGATATTAGCCTGGTTCTTTTCAAACGGATAAGAAGAGATACTACACTTGCTCATAGCCAAAAGAGAAGTGATTGCCTGATTCTTTTTATTCCTGAAGCTGTGAGGACAACACATGAATCAGTCCCAGCCCCATGGCTAGGGAAAGACTGCCACTGGTATGAGGGGACACCTGGCCGCCCAGGAGAGCACTGTGCCAATGTGTTCACCATTAGTCCACAGGGGCAGGGACAACTGTGCTGTCCACAGGACCTAAACAGCCATAGTAATGATTACATTTTATTGAGATGTTACAGGTCCTGGGCCCCAGCTAATGACTTCATATAGATCACTTTCTCCCCATAGAAGCCCTATGAAGTAGGCATTATTATTATTCCCATTTGAAAGACGAGGAAAGTAACGTTCAGAGACATTAAGTAACTTCCACATGGTTACACAGCTTCTAAGCATCAGAACTTCAGTTCTAACCCTGGTCTTCCAACTCCAAAGTCAGTGTTCCTGCCCATCCAGGCATACAGCCTCCCAAACAGAATCCAAATGTCCCACCTCCGGCCCCTCAAGTTCACTTCTACTAGTGCCTGGTCACAAAAGGGGAGACAGAAGCTTGAGACTGGGTCAAGGAGGGATGGGGGGGACAGGGACTTCACCTTTGGTCTCACCGCTGCTCTGGGCTGCTCTCCCCTCCTGCCAGTTTGCACAGTATGCTGAGATCGTCAACTTCACCCTTCCTGACGGCACTCAGAGAAGCGGGCAGGTGCTGGAGGTGTCTGGGACCAAGGCAATTGTTCAGGTAAGTGGTGTCAGGGTGATGTTGGCTGGCTGAATAAATGAATGAGCCCACAAAGTTCCTGACTATCTTATAGGTTCCGAAGGCAGGAAACATCCTATTTTCCCAAGAGCGTCTTGCCCAGAGCTGGGCACAAAGGGAGCCTAGAATGGAAGGCCCCATTCTCCCCAGCAAGACCCTTATTACAGTAACTAACCTCTTGTCCCATAGGTGTTTGAAGGAACCTCTGGGATCGATGCCCAGAAGACCACCTGTGAATTCACAGGGGACATCCTACGGACTCCAGTGTCAGAAGACATGCTGGGTGAGGATGGGGGGAGGAGAGGCGGCTGGGGGGTGCACCTCTGTCCTCCTGGCCCAGCTTTCCTGACCTCACACTTAGCACACTGTGTTGTCCTTGCCTCTTTGCCTGTCTGCCTCCCCTGTGAGTTCTTTGAGGTCAGAAGTTGTGTCTTTTCTCTCTGACCCCCAACCCCAGCTCGGGGCTGGACATACAGATGTTCCGTAAATGAGGAAGGCTGGTTCAATCAACTGGGGGCACAGTAGGTAGTCATCTGTTTGGGGTTAGGCTGGAACAGAGTGCACATCCCCCAATTTTCTCCCAAGATCTGTCATACCTGGCCCTCTCCTCTTTCCAGCCCTAAAACCCTCCATTAGAGTCATTTCCTGGGCCAAGGCCTCACCTGTAAAGATTTCCAGGAGAGGAGGGAAGATCCCCACAGAGACAGTCACTATAGCCAGCTCTCTCTCGGGGGGTAACTGAGGGCTGAGGGGAGAGGGACGTGAGGGGTGGGTGGGAGCCGCTGGTTGTGTGGAGGGTGAGCAGCAGCGAGGGAGACCCAGGGCTGGCCCTAAGCATCCCCCAATGGCCTCCCCCACCCTCAGGTCGGGTCTTCAACGGCTCCGGCAAGCCCATTGACAAGGGGCCAGTGGTCATGGCAGAGGACTTCCTGGATATCAATGGTGAGTGACCAGAGAAAGGCTCTGGACAGCTTCCGGGACCCAGCCCCCAATCACCTTCCCCACCCCCAGCCACCACCTCTAACACCTTGCCCTTGGAAGTTCTGCCCCAGACACAGGCCAGGGGCAATGGGCCAGGGCTCACCCGCAGGCTGGTCAGACTACCAGACAGATCGGGTGTGCGACGAGAACTGCAGAGGCCTCTCTGTCCCCAAGTCTGCCACAGAGCCTGAAATACTGTCATCGGCACTTCATGTCCTGTTCCTTTCAAAGCCATCATCAGGTGCAGAGTTCCACTCTCCCGCCTCCCAGTACCCTGTCCGCGCCCCTCAGAGCTGCCGGGGGTGGCTTGCCGTAGTAGACACAGCCCCTTCCTGGTGGGAGGCCATCCTGAGTCCTCCAGTCCTGTCAGTTCTGAGGACGAGATGGAGGCCCATAGGTGGAGGACCACAGAGGACCACAGCTGCCCCAAACCACTCAGCAAGTCAGGGCCAGAGCAAAGAATACACATCCCCTCAGACAGGAGCTCTCCAGGCTGCCCTCTGTTCCTTCGAGCCCCACACGACACCTGCTCAGCCTCGGGGGCCTCAGCCTGAGCTCCCACCTGCCTGCCACTTCTGCTGGGCCAGGCAGCACTGTCCAAGGGAGCACTGGATTGTGGCTATTTAGATACAAATGAATTCAAGTGGAATACACGTTCATGTCACATGCCCACCAGCCGCATGTGACTAGGGCTACTGGACCGGGCAGGGTAGTTAGAGCACATTTTCATCATCACAGAGAATTCTGCTCCACAGTGCTGCTCTGGAGTCGGGGGCAGGGTTGGGGGAGGGCAGGGACAGACTTGAGCCCTTGAGCATGGGTCCATGATCGCCCTCTCCCAGGCCAGCCCATCAACCCCCATGACCGCATCTACCCAGAGGAGATGATTCAGACGGGCATCTCTCCCATCGACGTCATGAACAGCATTGCCCGTGGTCAGAAGATCCCCATCTTCTCAGCAGCCGGGCTCCCCCACAATGAGGTGAGGCCTGCAGGGTCCTGCAGACATGACCAAGAGGAACGCACAGGGCAGAGGCCAGTGAAGTGGGTCTCCTGAATCAAACAGGCAGGAACCAGCCACACTGGGGTCATAGCTGTCCAGACTGGTAGCTGTCCTCTGGCAACTCATGGGCTCAGGGCCTCAGAACACCTCCTCACTGCCCCCAAGCAGGTCTTCAAGCCTTCACCCTGAGGAAGGCTGTAGGACCTGGGGCAGCCCTTTCATCTTTCTGGCCTAGGATCCCCCCGCGCCCCCACCCCCCAACCAAAGGCCTTGGCAGGAGGAAGGACTGGAAATTGCTCCATCCATCATCCTCTATGGTGCTCACTGGGCTGGGCTCTGGGCTCTGGTTCTGACACCCTTCCTTCTAATCCACTCCACCCCAGATTGCCGCCCAGATCTGCCGCCAGGCTGGGCTGGTGAAGAAGTCCAAGGCTGTGCTGGATTACCACGACGACAACTTTGCCATTGTCTTTGCGGCCATGGGGGTAAGAGAAGCTGGGCAGATTGGCAAATTCTGGAAGCTGTGGGCAGGCAGCCTTGTCTCTCTTGGACCCTGGCTCTGCCTGATATGATGAGGGAGGCATAATCCTTCTCCCTGAGAAGCTGTCAGTGTCCAGGCCTATCTGGTGAGAGAGGCAAGAGCATGACTGCAGGGGGAAGGGGGCTCAGTGACTAGGTACAGTGTGTCCCCCCGTGTATTCCAAAGGACATGGCAGCTGTCAGATGAGTCCTAGGGTGGCCTGGAGGAGGGAGAAGCCAGGGAATTTGGGAAGACGGCTTCAGGGAGGGGATACCATGGGGCCCTCAGGGGGCCCAAGGAGGGGTTTAGCAGGGAAGCAGCTGGCTAAGTGAGGGGTCAGGATGCAATGAGCAGAGCACAACCTGAAGAAATCTGAACTTCTCTTTGGGGGCCTGGGGAGTGCAAACCCAGCCCCTGCCTTCTCAAGTGCTGGGTCATCCCAGGGACTGACAGTCAATAAGCTCTACTGAGAAGAGATGGGAGGGGCCGGGGCCCCAGCCCTTAGGCTGCAGAGACGCCCCCTCCAGCCCTCCCTGCTATGTGTCCAGGTGAACATGGAGACAGCCAGGTTCTTCAAGTCTGACTTCGAGCAGAACGGTACCATGGGGAATGTCTGCCTCTTCCTGAACTTGGCCAACGACCCCACGTGAGCCATCCCCTGGTACCGAGACTGCCTTCAGGCAGCAAGCCCTGTCCCCTCTCAACACCCAGAGTACCAGAGCTCAGGAGTATCCCAGAACCATAGCCATGGGCCGGAGTTGGGAAAACAACCCCTTGTTGTGCAGACGGGGAAACTGAGGCTGGGTAAGGGGTAGGGATAGCCCAGGGAGAGACGGAGGGGACCAGACCACAAGCCCGCCTGCCACCTGCAGCCCCTCTGTTCTTCCCATAATGTGCGTCCAGCCACTGTCCCCAGTCAGACCTCCTTATTCTTGAGTCACTTCCCCAAAGTCACCACTAAAACTTAAACCACGTATTTACAGAAACTGTTTTATTTTTTAATTTTCTTACTTGAATAGAGTTGACACACAATGTTAACATTAGTTTCAGGTGTACAAGGTAGTGATTCAGTTTCTCTGTAGGTCCGTGCTGTGTTCACCACGAGTGTATCTACCATCTGCCACCAAGTAGCACTCTCACCATACCACCGACCCTATTCCCCGTGCTGCGCCTGTCTCCCTGGCTGGGAGCCTATGACTCCGCCCCTCGCCCCCCAGTTTGCCCATCTCCCCACCCCTTCCCTCTGGCAACCATCAGTTTATTCTCTGTATGTATAGGTCTGATTCTGCTTTTTGTTTATTCATTTGGAAAAACTGCTATTTCTAAAGTTCAGGAAATGTGAGTTTAAATCTGTGGGTCAGGGGGATGAAAAAAAAATTCTAATAAAACTGTCCTGGGTACTGAAGGGGCTCCAGAAGCGAAGTAACAGAATTCTGGAGGCCAAGATGACATCACCAGAGAAAAGACCCACAGGACAGAGCTTAAGCACTGAGAGAGCCTGGAGCCAGAGGAAGGGACTCGGGGGGGCTCAGAGTGGAAGGGGGCTGCCAGGCGGGCAGGGCACGCCTATGGAATATGCACACTAGCCGTGCTCTGGAGCAGTGAGGGGAACCTTCCGGAAGGAATCCAGGGTGTTCTACCTGAGCCGAGTGTGGCGGGGAGGAAGCTGGGGAAGAGAAGCGCAGCAGGAGCCCCACCCCTGCCTCGCTCTGATAGGCCAGCACCCCCCCCTCCCGCACCTTCAGGCCCACAGGGGCAGGGTGCTGTCATCCTCATCAACACTCCTGGCCCTGCCTGTCCCACTCCTGCCCAACTCCCAGCCTATTCCGGGCTCCCCCCCTTCCTCCCTAGGACAGCAGGAGGGAGGAGTGCCAGACGTGGTGAACTGCCCACCCCCAGGAACCACAGCTGACATGGGGCCTGGGAGCTGGGGCTCATCCCACCCACCCCCCTGCTGCTATGCGCAGTCCACTATCCACTCAGCACTTGGGGCTAGACAGAGCACAGGCCTAGGCCTCTGGGCTCTCTAAACACAGGCTGTCCCTCCAGGATCGAGCGCATCATCACCCCACGCCTGGCACTGACCACTGCTGAATTTCTTGCCTACCAGTGTGAGAAGCACGTGCTGGTCATACTGACCGACATGAGTTCCTACGCAGAGGCCTTGCGGGAGGTGAGGCAGCTGGTGAAGGGTGTCGGGGTCATGCCGGCCTCTCCGTAGTCCTTCCACCCCAAAACTCACCCATCCAAGCCTGCCGCCACTCACTCCATTTCTCAGTCACTGAACCTCCCACTCAGCCTCTTGCCCCGCTTCTTACCCCAGCGACACTGACGTTGCAGGTCTCAGCTGCCAGAGAGGAAGTGCCGGGCCGCCGAGGCTTCCCGGGATACATGTACACAGACCTGGCCACCATCTATGAGCGGGCAGGCCGCGTGGAGGGCCGGGGAGGGTCCATCACTCAGATCCCCATCCTCACCATGCCCAATGACGGTGAGTCTCTTCGCTGCCCACTACCCTCTGCTACCCCCTGCCCTCCCTTCCCACCGGGATGCCTAAAGGGCCCGTAGTTTTGTGCATAGATGTGCAGTAGCTCTGTTTCTTCATCACGGGATTCACTGTCTTTTCCTTGCCTCCACATACCCCATCACTCCCATGAGAGCCATAGAGCCCAGGCGGCCCTGAGCGGGTGGAGGCGTGGGCCCCATCTACACTGACTCCAGTGCATTTCCTTGCAGATATCACCCACCCAATCCCAGACCTGACGGGCTTCATCACAGAGGGACAGATCTACGTGGACAGACAGCTTCATAACAGACAAGTACGGTCCCCTCCCTACAACTTAGTGCTCTCCCCACCACCCCCAGAGACACTAACAGATGTCCCTTCACCTGCTGTGCTTCAGTTCTCTGTGAATTAGGAGGGGCCGGGCGAGGCTAACTCCAAAGAGGAGATGACCCAGGAAGACTGTGTGGTCACAGACAAAGACAGGTCTGGCTAGAATCCAGACCATCTGGCTGTGGGAACCTTGTGAAAATCATCTCATCCTTCTGATGCTGGGTTTCCTCACCTACAAAACAGAACTAATAGTATTTATCACTCAGTGGAGTGCATTGTGGAGGATACAATCATTTGGCACATAGAGAGCATCCAGCAGATAGTAGATACTCAATAAATACCACTTCTCTTTGCTTTCCAGTAATTTGCTCTGGTGAACAAAACAATGGGTAACTGACACAAGTAGATGGTGAATAATGTGCTAACAGGTTAGAAAATGTGTCTGTCCCATCTGAGGTCAAAGGCAATCCTGTGACTTTTACCTCTTTGCTCAGTAGGTTCCTTCTTTACAGCTATTAACTATTAAGCTTCAACCTGGTTTTTGTCCAAATAATCAAAGGTTTTAAAATAGTGACTTTCATTACCTAATGTCACGTCACGCCCCCCCCCTCCTGTCTAGGAGCACATACGTAGACACGTGCATACCCAAGCTCTAGAATTTGTGGGCGATAAAGGAGGGCAGGGCATGACCAGCCGACCTCTCTGTGGGAGGAGGGAGGAGCAGTCTCTTGAGAACCCCAGGGGGAGGAGAGACAAGTAGGGGTAGGAAGGAAAGTCAAGTCTGGACCCTGCCTTCTGCCACTCCCTTCTTCTGCTTGCCCAGATCTACCCCCCCATCAACGTGCTCCCTTCCCTGTCGCGGCTGATGAAGTCTGCCATTGGGGAGGGCATGACGAGAAAGGACCATGGAGACGTCTCCAACCAACTGGTAAGGAGAGAGCCCAGGGACTGGTGGGTAAGCTAATTTCAGAAGCTAGAGGTTTGAGCCCTACCTGGACCACGAGCTTTTCTCTGGGAAATCCCTCCCCTTTTGGGGTCCCCACACATCCAAATTGGGGGCCACTGAGCTCCTGTGATCCACCTGCGGTGACCGCTAGGACCGCCCCCCTTCACCCAGTATGCTTGCTACGCCATCGGGAAGGACGTGCAGGCCATGAAAGCAGTGGTGGGGGAGGAGGCGCTCACTTCAGAGGACCTGCTCTATCTGGAATTCCTGCAGAAGTTCGAGAAGAACTTCATCAACCAGGGTGAGGCGCGCTGGGGGCGTTCAGGCAGTAACCCCCTTACCCGGCCACATATACGCGCACACGCTCCTAACACTCCTGCCCCGTCCCTAGGCCCCTACGAGAACCGCTCGGTGTTTGAGTCCTTGGACCTGGGCTGGAAGCTGTTGCGCATCTTCCCCAAGGAGATGCTGAAGCGCATCCCGCAGAGCGTGCTCGATGAGTTCTACTCCCGCGAGGGGGCGCCGCAGGACCCCGCGTCCGACACTGCGCTCTAGCCCCACCCATAGCGGACCCCGGAGCTCGTCCCGGAAGCCCCTGCTCTACGCCGGTTCTACGCACGCCTCCGTGTCTTCCAAGGTCCCACACACCTGAACCAACCGCTTGAGTGCCCACTGTCAGCTACCCACCCCAACCACACCCCCTCCGCCTCGAGGCGGGGGTGGGGGGAGGGGGCTCCCACGCTTCATCCCTCTCCCTGGATTCCCCGCACTGGGAAAGAACAAAAGGCTGTTAACGCCTGTATTAAGCACATGAGAATCACCTAGAGAACTTTACAAAATACCAAGGCCCAGGCTCCAAACCAGATCAGTTATCTGAATCTGGAGGCAGGATTCCTCTGCACTGGTATTTTCCCCCCAGGTACAGCTGGAGTTGCAACCACTAGTTTAGAGGCTGCAAGATAACCCAGGTAAAGACAATGAGGGTGCACTTGAAGTCCTGAGACACTCTCCAACCCGACATACACATAGGGTTTTGTTGTCATTCTTAGGACCCTAATACCTCCAAAGCAACAGCCCACAGAATCCCCCAACTGCCAGGAAATCCTCAAGCTTTGTCCCTGCAAAGCATTATCACTTCATCTTAATTTGAAGCCAGGTGTTAAGGCCCCACTTGGGGCAGATCCCCAGAATTTGCTAGTTTTTAAAGTGCTCAGGAGGGGTGCTAACTCCTTCAGACCACTGGGGTTGGGAGGTGAGGGGACTACCAGAGGAGGTTTCCCTGGAATGAGGGAGAACTGCTTTGGGTAAAGAATCTGCATTTTTGTCCCTCCCTGTAGGTCACAGTGGTCTTGGGAGACCCTCCCCACTCCTTAGATTTCTCTGGGGGAAATACCAGGAATGATGGGGCCCAGAGGGGAGAAGGTAGTTAGAAGTGAGTGGTGTGGTCCGGTATACCTAGAGTTGACCCCTGGGGCCTCAGTAAACCTCTGATAAGCTTGGGGTCATTCCCTCTGAGAAGGGATGGAATGTGGATGGTTCACTCAACACTGAATCAAGCTACGTTGATTGCTTGACTACCATATATTAAAAACTTAAAAGGCAAACTGAAGAAAACATTGATGACAAATATATATAAAGGGTTACGGTTAATAAGTTTTACAAATCCAGTAAGAAACACTTTGAAGACCCTCAAAGAACAATGTGAAGAAACAGATAATTCCCAGAAGAGAAAAACACTGATATTTGTTTAAATTTTGGTAGTCATCAAGGAGTCAAATTAGAACATTTCCACTACCAAATTATTAGCAAATGTTTATTTAAAATCACAATATTCAGCGCTGGTGGTGATGGTTCAAGTAGGTCCTCTTTTAACAATAGAAAATTCTAGATAGCTGGCCTGGTCTCACTGCTCCAATCCCCTCCCTCCTTGTGAAGTAGGTGGTATTATTCCCAGTTTGCTGATGCAGAAACTAAGACACAGAGGTCAAGTAACTCACCCAAAGTCCCACGGCTGATGTGCAGGGTCCCTGCTTCACTGCGGGTAGAAGTGTAAATGAATATAAAACCTTGGTGGTGGGCAGTTTGTAAACACATATTAACAATTAAAAAATGTTCGTTCCCTTTCACCTAGTAATTCTACATTCAGGAAATCCATCCTAAGAAAACGACCAAGATGAATCATTTTGTTTTCTGCCGCACATGTCAAATGATAGTACGTCCATTATGACGCTGGGCTACAGTGGCGTCATAACGTACGTTTAGTATATGGCATGACAATGGATACTAGTTCATAATAAAACGCTAAATGAAAAGAAGTACAAAAAATGTAGGACATGTATATACATATCGTAACGGACCGTGATTTCTGCGGTTGGTGGAATTGTGATTTTTAATTTCCTTGTCCCTTTCTCTGTTTTTACAATCAGCACTTACCAATTTTATAATCAGAAACAAAACCCAAGTGTCTTGTGGTTTGTGTGTGTGGCCGACGCTGTTTCCAGGACGAGGGGCCCAGGGCTCACCGGGTGGCGGAGGGGTTAGCCGGGCAGGATCTCCGGGAGGCGGCGGGCGGGCCCCTGGAGACGGGGCGGCCGGTTACTCAGCCGGGGAAGTGTTGCGGTCCGCGGAGGAGCAGCCCTGGCCGCAGGGCCAGTTCGAGCTTCCGCCGGCGGGACCCTGCGGGCGGGTGGCGCGGGCCGGCCGGCGGGCAGGCCGTGGGGAGGGGGGGGAGCAGCCCCCGCACACACGTGTCGCCATGCAGCCGGCGGAGAAAGCCTCCTACAAGGTCACCTGGGGTGAAGCTGCGTCCCAGCAGCCCAGGTGGGCCGGGGATGAGGTGGCCGGGCTGTGGGGGGACTCCCTGGAGGGGCAGGGCCCGGAGCATGTGGGAGCCCTTGGGTGGCGCGAGGAGCCGGGAGAACGGGGCTGGGGTCCGGGCTCGCCTCCGGAGAGGCGTCCGGGGACGGTGGTTTCCTCATTGCCCTGCCGACCAGCGAGCCCCGGCCCGGCCTCCCGAAGCGCCTTGGTGCTCAGTGACAGCCCTCGCCCTCACGCACGCCCCTCCGCAGGGCCAACGGCCCAGACCCAGACTCCGCTTTCTTGCTCACCAGCCCACTCCGGACCCACGCTTACCCCGACGATGAGTGGGACCAGAGTGCTATTGGGAGGTACTACGAGCTGTTCGCGGCCGCACTGGGCAACCTGGAATGGTTGCGCTTCTGTCTGAGTCGGGACCGTGACAAAATTCCAGCAGATGACAAGGTAAGGCCTTGGAGCTTGGGGGCAAGAAATGAAGTCCTCTGTATGCACAGAAAGTTCCTCACATAGTGGTTCCCTGGCAAAGATCTGCCTATGGCAGATCCACAGATACCCTTTTCTGTGTAGTCACCTTCTATGAGCAGACTCTGCTCTGTAGGTTAGGTTGGGGACCCTGGGGCCCCAATCCTGCTCAGTCTCCTCCTACCCTCCTCCTGCCCCCACAGGGCTTCACTGCCATCCACTCTGCAGCCCAGAGTGGCAAGCTTACGTGCCTGCAGGTCTTGGTGGAGGAGTACAAGTTTCCCGTGGACCTGCCCACCAGCAATGGCCAGACACCCCTGCACCTGGTCATCCATGGGGACAACAAGACCATGACCCTCCCCTGCATTCACTATCTACTTAAGCAAGGGGCGGCCCTCAACACGTGAGTCCAGCCTGTGTCCAGAAAGTGTCTTGGAACCTGGGCAGATAGGAACCCCACTTCCAAGTAGGCAGATCCATGCAGGACAGGCAGAGGGCTGTGGGGTGACAAGGATTGGGTCCCACATAAAGCAGTCAGTGAGCCCGCATGCTGTAGTAAGGAGATCAGGCTCTGGGAGAGGACAGACCTAGTTCACACCCCAGCTTTGCCATCTGCTAGCAAACAGCAAGACCTCCAACAAGTCACTCAACCATTAGCCTCAGTGCTCTGGTTCCCAAGCTTGTCAGCACACTGGAGTCCCGTATGTAGCTTCAGAAATACCAGTGCCTGTGTTCCAGTAAAAGGCTGAAATTGGTATGGGGTGCCATCTGAGCTTTGGAAGGCCTAAAATATCCCCAGGTGTTTCTAATTTGCAGCAAAGTTTGGGAATTATTTCCTGAGTGTCTTCAACTGAAATGTGGGAAGATGACATGAGACTATTGTGGTAACTGAGGAAATGCATGGAAGTGCCCGGATGGCCCATGGGAGACTGCACTCGCTCATATTTACAGAGCCCTGTGTGCTCGGTGCCAAGCCTGAGTTGAATACAGCAGTGAAGACATGGAAATTGTCCCAGCCCTCATGAAGCTGATAAACTAGTGCAGGAGCAGAGGGTGAACTAGCAAACCAATAAATGAATGAAATGACAGTGTAGTAAGTAGTTACAAAGGAAATAAACAGGGCAATGAGGTGATGAGTGAAAGGGGTAGGGCAGAGGACCTATTTTGGAAGGGGAAGTCACCTCTAAGGAAATAACATTTAAATTGCAGCCTGAAAACTGAGAGCAAGGCAGCCATGGGCAGAACTGGGGAAAAGAGTCCCAAGCAGAGGGAACATCATGTGCAAAGATCACACGTTGGGAAAGAGTGGGGCAAGGTCAGAAGATGAGGGTGGGGAGGAGGCAGGGCCCAGGTCACGCAGGCCTTGTGCGCCATGGCCAGGCAGGGGAGGGGGCAGGAGGGCTGGCTGACTTAAGAGCCAATAAGGTTAGTGCTCTCTGAGCTCCAGCCAACCCAGCTCTTCTTCCAGCAGATCTTTACTGTTGCACATCCATATAGTCAGGCTCCCACCATTCATTTAGTCCAAACCCTCCTCCTACGGTTGAAGAAACTGAAGCTCAGAGAGAAGAAGGGACATATCAGAGTCACCCAGTGGGCTAGTGGCAGAGCAGGTGCGGAAGCTGGTTTGCCCACCTCTCTGATGGGCAGATGGCCTTTGTCCTTCCTTTCTGCTCTCTTCCCTGCCGGCGGGGCCCTCTACAGTCAGACATGCAATGGCTCCACACCCCTCCACCTGGCAGCCTGCAAGGGCCTGCTGAGCTGCGTGAAGGTGCTGGTGCAAAATGGTGCCAATGTCCATGCCCGAGATGCCATGGGCTGCAAGCCCATCGACTACTGCAAAATATGGAACCACCGCGACTGTGCCCGGTGAGGGTGTGAGAACCACCCACAGCCTGCCACCCCTTCCCTCCCTCCCAGCCCTTTCCCTGGGGCCCTCACCTAAGGCTGAGCCTTTACCAGGAGGGTCTGGGCTGAGAGATAAGTCTGCGGAAGAGACCCCCCGGGACCCCCCCCCAGGATATTCCCAGGGCTTTCCACAGGGCCTCACCCCTTTGGGTTGAGCACTGCCCTTCCTTGCCCTGAGGCCTTGGATCCTCAGCAGGGGTGCTGATCAGACTACCACTTTCCTCTCTCACCTCAAAGGTAGTGGGAGGGGCCTTGGGCAGTGGGGAATGGCGTCTCTGGTGGCTCCTCCCACCCTCATCCGGGCCCTCAGCAGCAGCCAGTCTTCCCAGTCCAGGGTGAAGCTCGGTCACTGGGGGATGACATACCCCCACCTTGGCGTCAGGTTCTTGAAGGATGCCATGTGGAAACGGGACAAGAAGGACTTTGCTCGTGAGATGGGGAAACTGAAGAGGCTCAAGGACCAGCTGGCCTTCATGGAACAAGACTACCTGACTGAGTATCAAGTAAGGGGGAGGGGGGGCAGGGGCGCCGGGCCCGCACTGCTCTCCAAGCAGGTGAGCACAGGAGGCCGTGACTCACAGGCAGTTAGAGGAGTGGCTGGTAGCAGTCCCACCCAGAAAAAGCCTCCCTCTCCCCATCCTCTGAAATTCCACCCTTAAAAGCCACTCCCCTAGGTCAAAAGTCTTACTTTGTGTTAGAGAGTAAATACAGCTTAAATTGGCAAGAAGTACAGCACCCCTCCTAGTGCATTGCCTCCTTCTGGATGAGGAGGAAAATCTCTAGCGAGTTCCAGGCCCTGCCTACATTGGGATTCACATTGGTTAAAAAGATCCACCCTCCTGGCGCCTGGGTGGCTCAGTCCGTTAAGTGTCTTAACTTCGGCTCAGGTCATTATCCTGGGTCCTGGGATGGAGCCCCGCATCGGTCCCCCACATCAGGCTCCCCACTCAGTGGGAAATCTGCTTCTCCCTCTCCCCCTCCCCCTGCTCATGCTCTCTCTCTCTCTCTCAAATAAATAAAATCTTAAAAAAAGAAAAAAAAGATCCATCCTTTGGGGCATGTAGCTGGCTCAGTTGGTGGAGTACATGACTCTTGATTTCGGGGTTGAGAGTTCAAGCCCCGTGTTGGCAGTAGAGATCACTTAAAAATAAAGTCTTCTAAAAAAAAAATACATCCTTTCCAACAGACACTGAGCATTTCCTCTCTGCTAGGCACCTGCTGGACCCTGAGGCTCCAAAGACAAATGAGATGTGGTCCCCTCACTGAAGGAGCTTAGGATCTAGAATGGGAGGTGGGTTATATTCCCACAGAGGAGGAAGGGTCCAGGAGGATGCCAGAGAGATAATGCTTAAGAGGATCTTTAAAGATGGGCAGCAGTTGGCTGTATGAAGAAGGGAAGGGCTGACCAGGCAGAAGGAACAGAGAGCCCTGTGGAGAGGCACAGAGGTACAGGAGAACGTGGTATATGCCGAGAAGCACAAAGTCAGTACAGCGAGGGGAACAGATGTGAGCTGGAGATTGCCAAGCGAGAGATTTGGGAGGGGCTCAGATCTATGATGGACCTTGGCTAGGGAAGAATGGGGAAGTAAAGGATTTTAAGCAGGTATAATGATATAGGATGCAAGAGCCAGAAAACCCAGAGAGAAGATGCTGGGAATCCTAAGTGGATCCAGAAGTGGGGAGGGCTTCAGGGCTGGCAAAATCCAGTACTCCAGCTTGGTTCCAGCTGCATTTCTCTCCAGTTTTCTCAGCCCTGTCCTCTTTTAGTGTGTCACCCAGTCCTCATAGCCCCTTGTGTCCAGAGGAGGCAAAGCTCATCCGTTCCCGTGGCTCTAAACTTTCCCAGAAGCCCCTTGCAGATCTCCCCTTATCTCTTATTGGCCTCAGTTGGATCCTATGTCCATTCTTGTGCCAATCCCTACAGCTAAAGGAAAGCCATGTGCTGACTGACCTGGGGCTGGGGCAAGGCTGATGGAATTATTATGATTGGCTTAGCCTAATCAGAGCCTACCTCCCGAGCTGGGTCAATCTCCGTACCACCTGATGGCTTAGCAACGGTCCGGGGGGTGAGACACTGAAACAAGGGGGTGGACAAGGGGCAGTTCTGTGGCAAGCCAAAGGTTCAATTCTAGTGGAGGCAAAAACAGAGAGGTAGACCGAGTCATGACCACCCAGCCCAGAGGGCCAGCCAACTATATCCCCCAACATACAAGGCCCACCACTTCCAGAAGCCAATCCAGACTGGCTACCCCCAGTTCCAGGCCTTCCAAACCTTTCTGCTTTCTTCCTCCCCCATTAATCCAGAGATTCTCTCAGGGCAGGACATATCTCCACTATCAGACGAGGGACTTCTCTGGAGGTGGAGGCTTGTCTCCCCCATGAGACTTGAGGTTTTCCGTAGGGCAGGGACTGGAGACCTCACTTAGGGCAGAGGCCGTATCAGGTTGGAGGTCGGAGAGGTTCTACCTGCCCCATCAGCCCACGGGCTCCCTTCGGGCAGTAGTTATCTCCCCGTCAGAACAAGGGCTCCCAAGGCAGGCGTTTCTCTCTCTCTTTTTTTTTTTTTTTTTTTTTTTTTTTTTTTTAAAGATTTTATTTATTTATTCATGAGAGACAGAGAGAGAGAGAGAGGCAGAGGGAGAAGCAGGCTCCTGAGGAGCAGGGAGCCCGATGTGGGACTCGATCCCAGGACCCTGGGATCATGACCTGAGCCGAAGGCAGACGCTTAACCATCTGAGCCACCCAGGCGCCCAAGGCAGGCGTTTCTCTCATCAGACTTAGGCCTCCTGGGGTGCAACTGGATCTAGCCAGTGATACCTGAGGTTTCCAAGGGCTACAGCCACAAGGCCCCCCTCCACAGGAGCAGGGAGGAGGGGCAGCCCTCCATGACTATCTTGTACCCTCTGATGTTGCAGAAAGAGCACCAAATTCTGAGAGAAGCTGATTTCAAGAAGTGGCTCCATCGCAAGCAGCTGCTTCAAGGCCAACCCCTGATCCCCAACGCCAAGCAAGCGCCTTGTGCCCCCCCCCAGGCGATCGCCATCCCCCAGACCCCCAAGCACCAGGGGCCTCGAAAGAGTTTCTACCCCTCCCCAGAGGCACGCCTGCGGCAGACATCAACACCCAAGCTGCAGTCCTTGGGGACACCCACAGCCATCTACACGCAGCCCATGGTCAGGCGGCCCAAGCGGTGGAATGTTAGCAACAATCCTGCCAGATGGCCCACCACCCAGATCAGCTACCCACAGGGCATCCGCCTCGGTGTGCATCCAGACCCCAGCCCGGAGCGCGACTTCCAAAGCTTCCTTAAGGCGAGGTCTGACCGGCACGGCGGGGCACAGCTGTGCACGGTGGCCGGCAGCCGGGTGGCACCTGTGCCCCAGCTGCCTTTCAAGGTGCTAGTCCAAGAGCTGTACCCTTCAGTGCGGCCACGCAGGATGAAAGTGCCCCAGGGCTTTTGCCCTGTCAGCATAAGGCACGTGCCCCGGAAGCGGCTCTCGGGTGACAACTTCTGGACTGACGCTCTGGCCATGAACCTGCGTGAGACATTTGATGAAGCCTTCCTGGCAGCTGTGCAAGCCCATCAAGGGCTCCCCACTCTGCCCTCCCCCAAAAGCCCCCCATAAACTTATTTTGGTAGGCTGTCAACCTGAGACAGCCCAGTGAAGGCTGAGGTGTGGTGATTCACGTTGGGGATGGAAGAGAGGGAGAGGAGTACTCACAGGCTTCCCACTTCCCACTCCCAAGCTTGAAGATCGGAGCCCCTTCTCTCTTAACAAAAGACTAGGTCCCAGGTCTCCTTTCTCCACAAAGAAATTCCTTGGACTCCCCAAGAGGTTTAAGCTAGGGCGGAGGCCTCAGAGTGGGCATCAGTCTATCCTGGGCCCTTGCATCATGAAACTGACGCTTTGGTGTCCCTACTACCTCTCCTCCCCCCGCCCCAGCCCACCAGGAACAAGGCTTCCAGGATAGGGAACCACAGGAAAATGCTGCCTCTTGTCCAGACTAAGTCCTTCAAGGTCTCTGTAGTTCAGGGAGGCACAAGCAGCATATCTTGGGAGGAGGGAGGGAGGACCCGTGGCTTCAGTTGCAACTATACAAGCACTTGCACTTCCTCCAGGAAGCTATCCTGGATCCCCTGTTATCCCCTGGACACATCACTACAAATCATTCATTAAACAAACGTTTATTGAGTGCTTTCTATGTACCGGGCACCAAGCCAGGCACTGTTAATACAAAAACTGAAGGACAGTCCCTGCCCTCAAGGAGCTTACAGTCTAGTGGGGAGATAGACCAGTAAGCCTAGAGTGATTTGTGTGGTGTGCTGGGGGGAGAGGGGACAAAGCTCAGAGGAACTGAAATCTAAGCTGAGAACTGACAGAGAAGGTATCCAGGTGGGCAGAAGAAAGGGGAATCAAAGTGGCATCTCTGAATACAGGAGGCGGGGACATAGGGTGCAAGGTGGCAAGTGATGAGGCCAGAGAGGCGAGCAGGAACCAGACATCACAAATTTCACAAGCCATGCTAAGGGGTCTGGACTTTATCCTGAGGGCAGTAGGGAGCCATGGAAGGTTGTAGGCCAGGAAGTGACTTGATCAGCTATACATTTTAGACAACTCTGGCTGTGGGACATAGGAGGAGAAGGAGGCTGTCACAATAATCCAGGTGTAAGCTGATGACAGTGGGTGTGGCTCGAATCAAGCGATGTTAGGAAGGTAAACGTTAACAGTTTTTAGAGATTGGATGAGTGGGAGGGGCAGAAAGAGAAAGCAGGGCTAGAAAGCAGGTTTCTGGTCTGGCTCCTGAGGGGTCTTGGGGCCACGGCAGGTACCCAAAAGAGGCAGGTTTGCAAAGGACAGCAGCAAGTGCCCTCTGGGCCATGAGAGTTGTCTGTGCACCCAAAGGCGAGAGGAACTATGGTTCAGAAGATCAGGAGGGATGCTGGGGCTGGAGGCCAACTCTTAGTTCCTCGGCAAAGAGTCCTTGACGCCATCAGCTCGGATGGGCTCCTCCAGGGAGCCCACAACAGAACCCTGAGAAACCCCACTGTGCATGGGGCAAATGGAGAAGCCTGCACAGGAAACTGAAAGGAATAGCAGAGGCAGGAGGAAGACCAGCACAGGAGTGCCAGGGAAGTGCAATTCAAGAAGCTGGGGGTGAGCAGCCCTGTCAGATGCTGCAGAGATCCAGTGTAAGATATGAAAGGGTCTGCTGGATTTAGCACGAGAAGGCCACTGGCAACCCCTAGGAGAGAAGCCATGTCGTCAGGGTGAGGAACAAAGAAGGAGACAGCAAGGGAGAGCTGAGCCAGCTGCTGACCCAGCAGTGAGGATGATATTGGCCTCCTGTGTCCCCTACCTTGTCTTCCCTTGTCTGCATAGGATAAAAAGGCCTGGCCATCTCATTCCCACCAAGAAGAAACCAAAGTGTGCTACTTCTCTCAGCGAAAGGGAAAGGCTGGGATTTTTAAGAGAACAGGAAGTGCTGCAGTCAAGGGAATGACTTGGTGGGACTTGGGGCAGGATATAGAGAATTTCAAGCACAGGGGCTTCCCCGGCTTAAAGGTACCGCATGTGCACTGTCCATCTCCGCACCTGCCACTCTCGATCTGAGGTACAGGACATGGCAGGAACGGCTCTCATGGGGGCTTCACTCCTGTATGTACTGCTGAGTACTTGCAAGGCACTGTAGTTGGAGTGCAAAGTCAGCAAATGCTGGTCTGTGCCAGGACCTGGCCCACCTTCTTAGAAGACTGAGGTCAGCTCCTCAGGAGCCAAGAGCACACAGAAGAGAGGGCCAGCCCTTGTGTGCTCTTAGAGCGACAAACCGTTTCTCCCCTCAGTCCCCTTTCTTAAAAAATAGGCTGTAACCCAGGCTGCCTGGAAGCCAATTTCTATTTTCTTTCCTCTTGGGCCTAAGATAGAATTCAGCCAGAAACCACTCCTTTTCCCCAGGGGAAGGCTTACAAATAGGATATTGCAGATGTTCCAAAAATCCCACCCAGTCCCAAACCGTCCCTCCGCTGCCCCCAGCGTCACAGCCATGGCGCCTTGGGGAAAGAAGAGATGGAAGAAAAGGGAGGGGCACGAGAAAGGCTGCCTCCACCCCCAACCCCCCTGACCCGGCTCAGCTCCTCATCTCTGCCCACTTCCCAGGAAGGGCCGTGAGAGCAGTCCCTCTGGGAGGGCAAGACCCAAACCCAGAAAAAAAGCCCCTGGAGCAGAAAAGCCAGTCCAGTCCAGGGCAGAAGGTCAACAGCAAGAAAGGGAGATGAACTTTCAGGATATTAAGGCAAACACTGCCACCTAGAATCTTTATTCAAATGGGAATCAGCACTTGGGACAGAAATCACAGTTCAACAGCAAAAACTATTTCTCCTGGAAGTGCCAAGCTATGGCCCCTCCCCACGGCCATCTGCCCAGAGAACTTATCCCTGTCTGCTCTCCAGCTTCATAGCCCCTGCCTGCCTGCCCCGGCTGAGCCAGAACCTCCCGACCCATCACGGAAGTGGGCAGGAGGGTCATAGGGAGCTCAGCTCCCGCCTAACCAGGGGGCCTATGGCCTCTTGGCTAAGCAGGCTCTGCCATCCTCCTGGTGCCCTCTGAGGTCACAGCCTCTAGTAGCGTCAGATCTGAGCCAAGCTGAGCCCTTCGAGGAAGGTGGGGATGAGGGCTTCAGGGAGAGTCAAGGGAACGAGGGCCAGGGCTGGGCGAAGGTGCCTTCCAGGCTCACGGTCCCCGCCTAGTGCAGAGGCCCAGGGGCCCGACTCTCCTGATCTTGCCCCCGCATCCCCTCCCAAAGGGGTTCAGTATATCTTCTGACGACTGGGTAGAACGGCCTCTTTGATGAAGGAGAAGACAATCAGGATCCCTAAGCGTTTGCCCCGCTTGCCTTTGGTGAAGTAATTGGAGACCACGTCATCTGTGGAGACACAGGCAGGGGGATGAGTGTGTGTGTCTACATGTGAACATGGATCTCCCCACCTGGAGCCCAAGTGTCTCCATCACAAGGCTGGGCTCGGGCTCCCCACACAACCCAGGCTTTCCTGAGGCGATCCCACCATGACCCCTGACAAGCCCCTTCTCACCTCCTGGCTGCATGGTGGAGGGCAGGACGTTTTCCCCAGCCGACAGTGACACAAAGAACGCAAACGGGATTATCCACAGACAGAAAGTGAAATAGGCCAGGACCTGGCAACAAGAGACACTGAGAGAGGGTGCCCCGGAGGTGCCAAGGGTGGGCCCCACACGGCCACCATGCATCTTACAGAGGCGGTCAAGAACGCACAGAAGGCCCCACACCTGATCTCTGAAGGAGGCTAGGGCCCAGGAAGCAGAGGCAGGGCAACCTCAGACATGGAGAAAATTCAGTGGGGAAAGGTGGAGGCTGAGGATGACCGAGTATGACCACAATCCCCAAATCCTGGGCACTAGGACAAACAACTCCTCTGAACTAAAGGAAGCAGATGGAAGGCAAAATCATGACTGACCCATCTTCCCCCCAAAAGTGACCCTGTTCTTCCCAGGGGTCAGAACTGGAGCAGCAGGGTGTGGAGAACCCCTGAGAGGAAAAAGGCTTGGCAGTCTGCTGGGAGGAGCCGGGCTTCAGGGCTGCAACCCGCCCAGCCCCATGAGGTCTGCATCAGACAAGGCCACCCCAGTGCCCTGTCCAGACCTCAGGGTGTTAGGCTGTGATCTTGGGAGAACCAAAGGACTCACTGGGGGAGAGCAGTGACCTCCCCGCCTCAGCCAAAGAGATCCCTGCTCCTCACCCCACATCACTTTCTAGACTCATCAATACTATTTTTTTAAATGCGTTATCCCTGAGCAGACTATTTCAAACCCCAGCTAAGTTCACAAAGCAAATCATGCAAGTCCCCTTTACTTCTTCTGTCCCTGCTAATAGTTTGATGTACTGAACACTTCTTACCTCTGAGAAAGGATAATATTCCTCTGCAAAAAACTGAAATGCTAGGTAATGATTCACCACCACTAGCCCTGTTGAGGAAATGAAGAGTCAGTCAGTTTGGGGGGAAGAATATAAAGCTGGACTTTTAACCTTCAAAGGCCCCTGAGAGTTGGGAGTCCTGAGTCTTAGTCCTGATTTTACACCCAACTCAGAGTATGGCTATAAGCCAAGTACACTACTCTCCAGAACTCAGTTCTCCATCTGTGAAAATGGGAGGATTAGCTCCTACCTGCCCACTGCAGAAGGCATTTATGAACAAAATTAGAAGGCAGATAAGAAAGCTCTTTGAATGGTATAAAAATGAGATTTGTTATGTAATCCAAAGCACCGTGACCATTAACCTACTTTTAAGTGGACGTGAGTCCCGAAGAGTGCCCTCCCATGGGCAGTGGGCACAGGAAGTCACAGGGCAGATAACATACTCCCAAGAGATTCCACTCTGAACTGGGCAGCTGGGAGAGGGCCTCAAACAAAGAGGCTCTCACTCCTCAGGAATAAAAGGGCACAGTTTGCTAGATGCTTTGGGGTGCAGTTTTAGGGTTCCTCCAAATTCTGGGGGAGAGGGTCCTTTCTCATTCTGCCCCAGGGTAGGGCTCACTGGTCTAAACTGGTATGTTCTGGACTGACACCCACCTCCTTAGGGTGCAGCCACATTTATGGAGGAGAGAAACAACCTGCAGATCCTGGGGATGGGCTGCTCAGAGATAGGCCTCCCTGCCTGTTCTCATGGTGAGGTGAAGGGCAGGCACCAGAACAAAGCCCCACTCAAACTGAACACCCCGCACATCCACCTCACAGCCAATGCCACGTCTTGTCTTTCTTTCCTCCTCTTGCCTTTCCCCTTCTAAGGCAGAGCTCTGCCGTGCCTAGCCACACTCTAGGACTGGGGAAACTGGAAGAAAGATGGTGCCTGATGCCCACAGATCTTCAGGAAAAGTCTCTCAGGCATCTAAAGGGCAGGTTGGGGGAATGACAAAGGGAAGCCAGGAGGGCCTGCTGCTGGGGGGATGGGGGGTGGGGAGGGTTCTATCCCCTGGTAAGATGCAGAAGGGGTCTGGTCTCCAGGGAAGGACTCTCCACACCAACCCCCACCAAACATCCTCTGGTAGAATCACACCAAGGCACTCAGGGAAGAGGCCAGTCCTAGCTTTAACTGGGTGCCCTCCTTGTGGGTAATATTCTCTTTCCAGATTCTCCCACAGAAATAGAAAGTAGCTCTAAGAAACTCCCAATTACATCTCATATCCTGCCCAAAGACTAGATGACCAGTAACAATTAATGGGAGAAAAAACAATCCTGGTAACCAAACACTTCCCAGAATCTTTTCTGGGGATATCTATAACCGCCTACTGTGTGTCACCTGAGTCCATCATCAAGAACCCAAGGCCAGAGAGGAGAAATGACTCCCAGGATCAGAAAGTAGTGCCAGCTTAAAGGCAGAACGGTCAGGGTCCTCCAAACACATTTGTCTACCCCAGCGCCGGCACCTGCAGGGGGACCCACAGCCCCATGAAGCTTGTGTTAATCAAGACTTTGGGCCAGACGACGAGACAGGGAGCTACCTGCCTCCCAGGGTAGGGCTTTGGGCTTTTCCTGGCCAAGTGGTTTCTTAGAGCCCATAACTACACAGAAAACCCACCTTTTCTCCCTTCTCAAATTCACCGCCCTGGGAAAGCCCTCCCTAAGTATCCCAGCCCCACCCCCTCATCACCCCAAATACTAGTCACTAGAGCCAAGGAGACTAGGCTCCTCAAGTGTAGGAAGTCCATGTTCCCAATCAGCCTGGCCTCCTGGAGGACCCTAGTGGTTTGCCACTTTTCTCTATATCCCCATAGTGCCCCAGACTGAGCTGGGCACATGCAACCACCTCGACGGCCTCCCCAACTCTGCCCCCTCTCACCGCACGAAAGGATGAAGTTAGGCGAGGTCAGCATGATGAAGGGGAAGGTCTGGAGGAGGCCAAAGTAGACGAGGTTGGTGAAGAGGCCCACGCCAATCATGAAGGTGGGGAAACGCTCAAACACGTAGAGGCCAATCAGCACAGCTGTGGAGAACTGAAACAACGAGAGGTACACAGTGCAGGGAGCCTCTTCCAGGCAGCCTTCTTGGTCTCACTAACCCCCAGCCTGCTCCGGGCAACACTAGGTTCATGCTTCGATCTCTCCCTATTTCACAGTCCTCCCCAACCTGTCTCTCAGCTCCCAAAGGGCAGCATCTTTTAAGGCCATTCTCAAAAATTTTTGACAGCAACCCACAGTAAACGTTATAAGATCAAAGTTCAAATTTCAATTCTTTTCTATTCTATTCTGTTTTTTGAAAATGCTGACCGTGACCTACTGAACTGATGACACAACCCAATAATGAATGAGACCTACAACCTGAAAAACACTGTTCTGAAGAATTTATAGTTGTCAGCGCTTAACAAATGGCAGTTGGTAGAATAAAGGTCTAATTCCTGTACCAAAACCCTCAGGCCAGGCCTCTGAACCCAGAGCTGAGTGCTATGGTCTCGTCTCCACTACTAACCCTCTACCCCAAGCCATGCCCAGAGTGGCTGCTGACACCAGGTGACTTGAGAGGCACTGGACTTCTCCCATCCAAATGGTCCCAATCCCCACCCCTTCCCACAGCTGGCAGGAATCTACCCGCCAGCAGGCACTCCTGGAGCTTTGACATCAATGGCAAGGATTGTGTCTTCAGGAACAGAAGCCTTCCATGAGACCTCAGGAGGGCAGGGACTGGGCCAGGGAAGGTGTCTCCCTCTTAGGACAAGTCACTTGATCTGAGGACAATGAGTACTCTAACTCAAGTACTCAAAACTGTTCTTAGGTAGGTTCTTCGTAGTTCTTCGCAGGGGTTAGAGACAACGGGAAACAACCAAGCAAAGGCCAAGCCATGGTCCTGTCAACACAGAGTGTGCACTCAGCTGTCACCCTAAGGAACTGAGAACAGGGTCTGCAGTGAAGCGCTGCTACTTGGGGAAGGGGCGAGGGAACACCTGGACCCAGAGAGCAGACTCAGGAGACAAGGTGCAGGTGAAGGAGGTAGGGGTGGCACCCTCAGGAAACAGCAGGGACAGAGATCTCACCATTCATGCAAAACTCTCCCTACCTCCTCCTTTGAGGCAGGGCAAAAGAGGGGAAAATCCTGGGGAAAACTGCCACTTACCCAGATCATGTATTTTATGATCCTGCTGGTGGCCACTGTATATTCTTCTATCAGTTCTGCCAGGTAATAGAGTCCAGCCGCTGGGGGGGTTGGGAAGAGGAGCAAGCAGGGAGAACATTAGCCAGAGTCACTCCCACTATCCTGGTCTTTCTCCCTCTGCAGCTGGGTCCCCATCAACCCCTCGTGGACTCCCTCACTAAGGAACAAACCGAACAACCCATGTGGGGTCTTCCCAAGCCTGAAGAAGCAAAACTTTGTCCGGGCAACTGAAAAAAGATTTCATAAAACTGAATGGAAACCTGTATCTGATGCCTCAGCACAATGCTAACCTCTGGTCCATAAAGGGGCATTTCATTCACTCATTCACTAAATATCTGTTGGGCACCTGGTATGGGCCAAGTGCCGCTCTGAGTGAAGAGAGAACAGGATAAGACAGGCAAGGTCCCTTCCCTGACCCAGCGCGGGTAAGTGGGGGTAGGGAGAGGCGTCAGACGAGCCCAGTGTGACAAGTGCTACTTCAGAGAAAGGACAGGGCACCACCAAACCCCATAAGGAGGGCCTCCCGGAAGAGGTGAGATCTCAGCAGAGAGCAAGAGTAGGAACTAGCCAGAAGGGAAAAGCGTGTCAAACTCCGAGAGAGTAGGCAGTACGAAGGGCCAGAAGCGAAAGGGCGGGGATAAGTGTCCGGGAAAAGTTCAGCGCGATAGGCCCGCGAGGGTGGGCACGGCAGCGGTTGGCGGTGCGCGAGCTCGGGCAAGGGGCACTTGAGTCAGCCACTCCCAGGCGGTGCCAGGGCGGATTTAGTGACACGGGGAAGGACCCGCGGTCCCACAGGGCTGCTAGGGTCAGCAAGAGGGGGCAGGATCCGGCGGGACAGGAAAGGGGAGGGATGCGAAGGCCGGGAGCACCGGACAGGAGTCCCCCGTGATGCGACCGCCTTCGTGATGCGACCCCCGGCCAGCACAGATGCCGGGAGAGGAGCCCGCGCGGACCGGGGTCGCGCACTCTCACCGACGGCCAGCGTGATGAAGGCCACCTGGATGAAGAGCGAAAGCCAACTCAGCACGTACATGAACCACATGGCGCCCCCGCCCCGCCCGCCCCCCGACCGCCGGGACGGGCCTGCGCGCTTCGGCTCCGGCGACACGGAGCCGCCGCCACCGTCGCCGCGTCCCCGCCCTGCGGACGGAGGGACGGCCGTGCGCCGCCGCCGAGAGGAGCCCGGCCGGAGCGCCGCCCCCGGCCGAATCCGGACGAGCGCCTCCCGCCGGCGCGGAGGACCAGGCGGCCGCGGCCTCGTCCCGCACCCCGCTGGCGGAGCTCCGGCCACCCGGGGCTGCACCCAGCGGAGGGCCGGCGACGCAGCCCGGGGAGGCAGGACGGTGCCCGGGGACGGGGACGCGGCGCCAGCCGGGGGGACAGCGTTCGGTGCACCCCCTGGGCGCTCCCGCGCCAGCGTGGAGGGGTCCGGGGCGCGAGAGGCCCGCCCGACCGCTCCCAGCAAGCACCGGCCAGAAGCGCTCAGGCGGGTCGCCCACCGGGCTTGTTTGCCACCGCGGCTGCCCGAACAAAACTGTTGCGTGCCCAGCGCGGGCCAGGCACTGTGCTAAAGGCTACGCTGTATTTCCCTGATGGCAGCTGACTGTAAATCATTTCAGGATGGGGAAGCTGGGGCCAAGGAAGGTTACTTGCCTCGGGTCATACATTTAGGAAGCGGCACCGGCAGGAGTTGGGGCGCCTTTAATCAGTCATCCTCAGGCGTAACTCTCCCTTTAGGCCGAGTTCCTTGAGGGTACCTTCTGCACCTTTGTATCGCCTGCACATCGCCAGTGGCGGGCACGCAGGGTGCCCACCGGGCACTGAATGCACTTACTCTACCACGGGAGACTCACTGAGGGGGCGGAAGGCGCAGGGCAGCCCTTGTTGAGAAGTTCCCCATCTAGTGGCCAAGACAGGCATGCAAAACAAAGTGTCTGTAGGGGCCTGGGCTTTGCTACTCATCTCGGGATAATCTTTACGTGCGTAAAAACGAATACATATTCCTCAAAGATTAAACATAGAACTACCACATAGTGCATCGATTCCCCTCCTGGGTAGATACCCCCCCAAAGATTGGATAGGTGATAGGAGTGTCTGCAGGACTCCCACTCCCTTGGAATTTCCAGGTGAGAGGAGCATTTTGGATCTAAAGAGGCGACTCTGGGTGGGCTCCTGGATAGATCAGGATGGGGGCTGGTCACCAGAAAGACCAAGCCCTGATTAGAAGCTTGGAACTTTCGGTCCCATCCCCCATCCTCCACAGAGGGGAGAGGGCTGGAGATTGAGCTAATAATCAATCATGACTGTGTGATGAAGTCTCCATAAAAATTTCTAAATTATGGGTTCAGAGGTTGGTGGATGCATCCACATGCTTGGAGGGTGGCCCACCCCAACTCCACAGGGACAGAAGCTCCTGGGCTCGGAAGCCTTCCAGACCTCGCCCTATGTGCCCCTTGATCTGGCTGTTCATCTGTACCTGTATAATATCGTTTGTAATAAACTGGTAAGTGTAAGTAAATATTTCCAAGTTTTGTCACCCAATTATCTTGTAAGTTATTATTTCCAAGTTTTGTCTAGCCAATTACCCAACCTGAGGAGGGAGGTTGGGAACCCCGCACGTTGTAGCCAAGTTGGACAGAAGTGTAGGCACCCTGGCGACCCATGACTGTAACTGGCATCTGAAGTGAGAGCAGTCTTGTGGGACTGAGCCCTTAAACTTGGGGAGTCTGACACCAACTCCAGGTAGTTACTATCAGAATTGAATAAAATTACAGAACACCAAGTTGGTGTCAAGAGAGTTGAAAAATTGGTTGACGCACACATTTGGTGTCAGAAGGGTCATTAAGTAGAGAAACGTTTTCCTTTACTACCACAATGACGAGGTATGAATGAATGTAGATGATATTTCAAAATATCGTTAATCATGGGAGAGAGTTACAGATACTGCTAACAAGTACCAGAAGTTTGTTGCCTCTATTTACAGTGGAGGGAAATGTTCAATAGAGGTTAGTGCAAATAAAGATGGAAAATTTCTTTCCTTCCAATTTTCCAGGGTTCTGGAGTTTATCTCCCTGAATTCTCTGTCTGCTGACTTCTAAGGGGTCCCAAACCCCTGCTTAAGAATTCCTGAGGGGGGAAAAAAAAGAACTCCTGAGGAATATGTATGAAGAGCCACGGGAGCTTCGAGGACTATGGGCTTATCTACAATAGCCTTCTCACTACAGCACGGGGAGTCACTGAAACCAGCCTGAAAGTTCACTAATAGCAAACTGGATAAGTGCCTTTGGAAACATCATAGAGCAGAGCTGTAAAAATAAATGAGGACAGAATAAGTCATGGGGGTAAAAAGTACAGCACAGGGAATATAGTCAATGATATTGTTAAAGTGTTGTGTGGTGACCGATGGGAGCTACCCTGTGGTGAGAACAGCATAACATAGAGAGATGCTGAATCACTGTGTTGTACACCTGAAACTAATGTAACATTGTGGGTCAACCATACTTTCATTTAAGAAAGGAATAAAAACAAACACAAAAAACTGTGGATGTTCCATATAAGAGGATCCCCTTTTTGAAAAAAGTAAAAGGCTGGGAAGAAAGGACTAGGTATTCTTTATAGAGGTATTTCTTTATATAGACTATCTCTGGAAGGATACATTCTAAAATGGTGACATTGCTTGCTTCCTAGGAAGAGAGGGTAGGGTTCAAGAGTAAGAGAGAGCCTTTCTACTGTATGTCTTTTTATATTCTTAATATATTGAACTATGTAAATATATGTAAACACATTACCCATTCATAAGTTAAGTTTAAAATTAAAATATTCATAGTATGCTGGATCTGCTGGGATGGCTCAAATTTCTTGTTATTACCCCATCCCTTTGTGAGGAAAGCCACTGTGTAGTAAGGTGGCCAGCCTCGGATCATGTGGCCTGGCCATCGGGGAGTTTGAATTTGAGACATGGACGGACGCCTCAGTGAGTAGAGGCACCATAAAATCTCAATTGTTCTTACTTTTTCCTAGACATTGTCCTCCCGGGGAGGGAGGAGAATGTAGAAGTATTCCCCCACTCTTCCCAGAACTGTAGAGAAGAGAAATTTGGGGGCCAAAAAGGTTAAGTGCATTGAGATGACCCGATGAAGGATTGTTTCTGCAGGGCTGGACACTTTCACTTCCCCACAGTCTTGGGGCCAAAACTGGCCCCAGGAACGAAGGCTGAGCACTGGTGTTTCCTCCCACAGCAGGCAGGAGAAGCCATGGTTTCCTGAGAGCCGTGAAAAGCAAGCCAGGAGACCCTCGCTCCCATCAGCTCCCCATGACCCAACAGGGCTGGACAGGGCTCAGGGAGGCTCTCTGGGACCCATGCTTAGGCAGGGGGTCACAGGGGAGAGCAAACCCAGCCTCTCCAGAAGGAGGGTTGGGAGGGAGCAGGAGGGCTCCTCATCCTCAATTCAAGGGCCTCAAGGGTGAAAGGGTTTGTAGATTCAGAAGTTTGTTGACCTACATACTAACAGTAAGTATATACACTTATCCCAATGTTACATGTAACCCTTTAACTTTTCCTAATTCACACACTCATGTGTTACCATTTGATGCTGGCGTGTGTGGGGACCAATTCCCATACATCTCATGAGGATGTTCTAGGGGAGACCAGCTCTTTCACCATCAGATGGACCTCTTCCTCAAAACACTAACTGCAAGCATTTTTAGTGTTCTCAGTGGGTGCCAGACACTGCGCTAAGTGATTTGTGTGTATAAACCCACTTAAGGTTCATAGCGAGCACAGGAGATAGTGTTACTATGATGTCCATTTCACAGATAAGAAATTGAGGCACAGAGAGGCTGAATACTTTGTCTACGGTCACACAGCTAGTACTTGGAAGAGCCAGGGTTTGAATCTGGGCATTCTGGATCCAGAGCCACATGGTTTTCTCTGGTCTCTTAAAAGTCACCTGCCTTTGTTGTGAGAGTGATTCTGCCTGTCTTGTCATCACCTGCCATTTGGCCAGTGGACTCGATCCTGTTTTATCTCCCCAAAGGCTGCCTGATCCTCTGGCTCTCCCTCTTTTCCCTCCACCTTTATCCTTAGAGGAGCTGATGAATACACCTAGGGTTCTCGTCACCTCTGGTCCCTTCCTGCATCTTCACTAACTCCCCTTCTCACATTCTCACAGACTTACACCTTCACTGAGCCCACGGCCAGGGACAGGAATTACTTGGTTCTGTGGTCCCAGTGACCCACACAGCTGGGGCCTGCACATCCCTACGGGCTGGGAAAAGTAGAGGGGTGTGGAATGAAAAGGCGGGGCAGTGCAGAAGTGTGCGGTTCAAGTCCCGGGCCCGGCTGTGTTGGCTGCCGCCCTCTAGTGGCGGCCAGAGGAGCTGCAGAGGACCAAAGCCAGGGCCAGTTCAAGACCTACTGAAGGAGTTTTGAGAGACCATGGGAGTCCCACCATCAGTGTTAGAGTGTGGGCCAGGAGGGCAGGCGGGAGAGGGGACACACACGGACACACACACACACACACACACACTACAAACTGGTGAAGACAAAGTCCACATCGGCATCTGGGCCTCCGCGGCCCCTGCCTGGCCTGGCTGCAAACTGACAGTCGGGAGAGAGACATGGTGAAGTCAGAGACAGAGAGAGGCAGGCCTGGAGACCCAGGCCCCTCTTCCCTCATCATCCTCTCCTCCCCCTGGGGAGTGCTTGCCTCTCCCTGCCAGTGCCCCAGCCCCAATGGAAGCACAGCTATCCCCTACCCCACTCTATCCTTACACACACGATGTCACCGCATGATGACCCCTCTCGAAAGTGCCCACATCCTAGGGGAAACTTCTCCTCTGATGGTCCGTGTAATCAGCAGCTTTATTGTTGGGCACCTCACCTTTCTGGTCTTGGTTTTGCTGCACCTGCCAGAGCAAAATTTGGTAAAAGACAAACCACAAACAATGAAAAGCAATGACCACTGCTATGTTCACATCATCTATTTGTCCCCGTAGTCTAGGCCTCCCGACCCTGTTTCTCTGCTCTGCCTCTGTCTCCCCCACCCCAAACAGCTGTCCTGGTGTTCCTGGCACCCCTGTCACATACATGCCTGGGGCCCCAACTCAAGTGGCTGAGTTAAAGAGCTTTCTCATGACAAGTCCTCAGAGGGCTCTATTAATTGCCTCGCATTAAGCTACTAGGCCTGCGAGGACCATGTGGGGGGCGGGGGTGAGGGTGTGAGGCTGGGGAATAACAGGAAAGAACAAGGTGGGGGAGGGGAGCAGTCTGGGACTTTGCATGAGACCCTTGCTGACCTCTCTCTCTGTCTTTCACACACACACACACACACACACACACACACACACACACACAGCAGAGCCCCTGAGCGGGGTTGTGAGGAAGCAGTCGGCTAATGGAAGTCCAAGGAGAGGAGGCACAGCCCATCAGCCAGAACAGCAGAGAGCCATTCATGTTTGCTTCTGTCTTTAGCATAACAGAGATCGCTGGATTCGTGGCTGGAATGTCTCTGTCTTTATTCAAGCAGCTCTGAGTGGTCTCTGATGACAGGAATTGCTGATTAGAAGAAAAGAGACCACTCTCTCTGATAGGCTAGCTCCCCTGGGGGGGGGGGGGGCGGTGGGAAGAGGATGAGATTAATTTATCACAGGACTAAGATATTTCAGGACCAGGAGGTGGCTAGTTCTACCGTCCACTTCATAAAGCAGGCCAAATATTAGCCTATGTTTGAATACCTTAGCACTCACTACCCCCCATCTGGAAGGAGATTTTTCCTTCTACTGAGCAGGTTGGTCCCATTTTCTCCCCTGGGACTGC